ACAACTCATTGTTCTTTATTAGTACATTCTCTAATATGGAGGCTCTGACTTAACTTCACTCTAACAAGACATTATATGAATTTATTTTAATTTATTATACCTCTGTCCGTTCTACTACACAATGTTAAGCAACCTTTGGCGTTCATATCCAAGTGACTTGCTGCTCTTCTGTTTCTCTTTTTTCTCCTTCAGAATCTTGCTCTGAGAGCACAGCTATGAAACGTCTGACGTTTGGAACAAACTCGACGTACGCGTCCTCTCAAGGTCATAGTTTACAGCAAGCGCTCTACGATTTCACTTTATAACAACTATCAACTTAATAATTTGGGAAGCATTTTGCGAACCAACAAATGTTGTAATTTAAAGACCATGCCTGTAAAAACGGTGTGTACCTGCAGATGCAGAAATATATTATTATTATTATTAAGAAATGTCATCTAGTTTCACCAAACGATATTGAATATACAATGGACAAGTTCACGTGCTGTAACAAACGATCTGCCTCAGGAGCAGGTATGTCTCGTGATTTAGTTTCAGCATTATCTTAAATTGATTTTTGGACGTAATAATTGGGTGTTTCTATTGATTTCGAGTGTTTTAAGGACTCTTAGGGCCAGTGGAATGTCAATGAGCCCTAACCAAATCGTCCGGCAGTCGGATCACTGAATTTCGAGTAGTTCATCATTCCTCGTCAAGCTGAATAACAACTACAATGCACCAACTAATTGCACGCCATGAACTGACCCATGCGGTGTTGATCATACTCTCTTCCTTGTATCTGCTCTTACTAATATATCTTTGTGCCTGAATGCAACAAAATGGAAATCTGTAGAATTATGGTCTACTATGATATTAGTACTGCTCTAATAATAGACCTAATCCTAAATTTGTAGATTCGTCATGATATAACTGCCTAATCTATAAGATCTTACGTGGAAGTCACACCATCGACTACACCAACTCACTGTATCGTATCAATTACCAATACATGATGTAGAACAAGGTTAGGCTAGAGAAAGAACAATATATTTAATATGAATAGAAGATATAAGGTAACATTAAGCAGAGACCACGCCTGCATGGCCGAGTCATGCCACTCGATCAACTCCAGTCCATTTAATTCATTGTTCGCGCCTTCTCCATTGTTAGGTATTTCTCCGCGTTAACTATTGAATATCTATTTTCTGAGTAGTCTCGTGTTCACAGCTTTGTGGATTGTGTGGCTATTGTCCAATGCCACTACAAATCCACGTTAGGCGCTAGCCGTGAGATGTGACTTTGACGTTAGTTGTCCCTCAATAATTTGACACAGGTCATCTACGTTAGTGATCTACATTCCAAATACTGACACTTTTCACCTTGTTAATAATAGCGTGAAATTTATTTATTACTACAACACATATTTTTCGCAAAAAAATTACGAGTTAGTCCCTATTGGTCAGACTGTGATTTGATCGAGTGATGCCAACGAAATATAGATGCCCCCTACAATAATATATAATCATTTATTTAATTCGCGTTATTAAACTATGGAACAAGATAGGAATAAATTTTCAATGCATATATTTTATGTACTCCTTGCTGCAGGCAGACAGTAAGAGAAACGAATCAGAAAGGCGTACTAAAGAAGGCAAACATTCCAATTCACCATACTTCTCGTGGCAAATGTTAATATAGATCGAAACAGATTATGGGCAGTGTGACAAAGAGATGGACGTTGCACAAAATAATGATTGTCAGACGAACACACATAAGTACATCCAAGGATCATCGGCGTAGAAATACAAGATCGCAAACATAAGACGTGCATTTGTGCTGAAGATTGGAATTTCCTGTGAAAAGTGTAGTTATCGTGAGGGCAAAAATGACTCAATGTCACATGTTGTTTCAGTCAATAAGGTGTGTCAAAAGCTAAGAGGAATCATAAATGCATTAGTACTAGACACTACAAGCTTTTCCGTAATTCAGATTGGTCATCTCAAGACCGTCAGTATGTCATAAGTTTACCTCAGTTTCAGTTTCGGAAGGACAAGAGACAGGACGGTCTTCGTTCGTCCTGACGATGGAGGCTGCTTTGCTTAGAATGCAACAATATAGGGAGATATACTGTAGTGGCATTGGACAATAGCCACACAATCCACAAAGCTGTGAACACGAGACTACTCAGAAAATAGATTGTAGTGACTCACGTTTATCACGAGAACACGACTGGTTTAATAAAAACAATTATTATTATAACCAAGTGTACCAGTGACTGTTTTAACGTGCTTTTGTTTGACTGTGCTAATGACAGCTTTTTTGTGCTTCCATTCTTTTACTTACACTTTGATTGTAACTTCGCGCGAATTCGGTTACGTTCTGTAACCAAGCTTGTATCCTGGCACGATCTCGGTATCCTTTCGATGCCACGAGATCGCCAGCAAATAAACCTCGACTTGGTCCATTAATTGCCTTCTGGTATTCGGCTTCTCGGGGATTTTATGGAGTCATTTGGAACGAGCTTCTGATTTATCTGGCACGTGTTTCTTGGTAGTGGTGTTCATAGTTAATCTCGACTCGACGCCACGCTACAATTGGTGACCCGTATTTTGGAACACGCCTCAGCTTCTGGTCAAATCTTCCAAAGAAGCCAATTCGGTGAGTCTATGATTTATCTATCCACGTCTGTCGTATATTTTCATATTTTTTAATATATAATATACGCGACATGACGGATAACGATAAGAATAGTATTAATATAATAGACTCACACGTATGTGTACCGAACCCTTGTCACTTTTTATTCGCGTGATGATGAATTCCACGCTTTATTCGAGAAATGTTACCCTATTAACGATTCTCCTCGCTGACCCTGCTGCTTGGTACGGAATGCATACGCATAAGCATATCCGTCTACCACCCAGCACCAAATGGTTAAGTTGAACGGTTTCATTGCCAACTTAAAAGTGCTCTACGAGCACACGAGAACGACAACTGGTACGAAACCTTATCGCTCGTCCTCTTAGGTATTCGAACGAGCTTGAAGGCAGATATACAATGTTCCGCCGCTGAAATGGTATACGGCACGACATTGCGTCTGCCCGGAGAATCCTTCACACCACGGAGCAGACCTAATTTCGGTAAATCAGACAACGTCCGTCGACTGTCTGCAATTATGCGAACGCTGCCTCCGGTGTCAACTCGAATACAACATCGACAGGTCGCTCTCCCTCGAGAGTTATCTACCTGTTCACATGTTTTTGTACGAGTAGATTCGGTACGCAAACCTTGGCAACAACCTTACGAAGGCCCTTTTCACGTGATCGCTCGTCACGAAAAGACCTTCAAGGTTGATCGACATGGCCGCGTCGAGATAGTCAGCGTTGATCGTCTCAAACCAGCACACGTCGATGACAGTGCCCTATCTGGTAACCTGAGATTCAATGCTAGACCTATTAAACCTAGCGGGATCCTTAAATCTTCAGGTCCCACGCTAGATGCATCTGAGACCTCATTCTCACGTCCCGGTCAACAGCACGCGTCATCTGCACCGTCTACAGACGAGACGATAGTCTCACGTCCAGATCAGCAGACCACGCCGCCTCTGACCTCGGATGAGATTGCAGGCTCACGCGACGCGAACGAGACTGCCGTCTCACGTTCCGGTCGCCGAGTACGGTTACCCGTACGCTTCCGCGAATAGTCGCACAGTCAGCTACCGATACGGTGTAGGATTATTCCTATACTACACGTATGCTACACTCTTCTTTTTTGATTTTCTTTTTGTTTCCTGAGCCCACGCCTTCGACCATCTCCGTTTGGTTCCGTCGACTTCAGTCAATTTTGGCGAAAGCTGGCCTGATCACCCATGCTCTTGTCAACGTACTCAGTCGATATATTGGTTTCGAATGCTCGGCATACGCTTGGTCTCGAACTTGGTCGTTATGGTTGCTTCTGGTCTTTTGGCTCAACGTGGTTTCGTCCTACGTCTGTAGCGTTTCTGGTCCGCATTCCCTACGAACGCCCTCTTCAGATTCTGGATACAAACCACTCTCGTGTAGCATGCCAACTCGAGCAATCAATACAACACATCGCTCCTGGTACCGTTCTCCGAAAACGACCTTCGTTGGCAACTCGACGATCAACGATCGCTTTCCTGTTCGCCAATCTTTCCGTCCTACAATCGCTCGTCAGCCGATCAGTCCCACGATTCAAACCGCTATTTATCGAAAGTGTAAACCCTTTCTAGCGGGGGGCTCCTGTAGTGACTCACGTTTATCACGAGAACACGACTGGTTTAATAAAAACAATTATTATTATAACCAAGTGTACCAGTGACTGTTTTAACGTGCTTTTGTTTGACTGTGCTAATGACAGCTTTTTTGTGCTTCCATTCTTTTACTTACACTTTGATTGTAACTTCGCGCGAATTCGGTTACGTTCTGTAACCAAGCTTGTATCCTGGCACGATCTCGGTATCCTTTCGATGCCACGAGATCGCCAGCAAATAAACCTCGACTTGGTCCATTAATTGCCTTCTGGTATTCGGCTTCTCGGGGATTTTATGGAGTCATTTGGAACGAGCTTCTGATTTATCTGGCACGTGTTTCTTGGTAGTGGTGTTCATAGTTAATCTCGACTCGACGCCACGCTACAATTGGTAATCCCAATTCGACTACAAGATATTCAATAGTTAACACGGAGAAATACCTAACGATGGAAAAGGCGCGAACAATGAATGGAATGAACTGGAGTTGATCGGATGGCATGACTCGGCCATGCAGGCGTGGTCTCTGCTTAATGTTACCTTATATCTTCTATTCATATTAAATATATTGTTCTTTCTCTAGCCTAACCTTGTTCTACATCATGTATTGGTAATTGATACGATACAGTGAGTTGGTGTAGTCGATGGTGTGACTTCCACGTAAGATCTTATAGATTAGGCAGTTATATCATGACGAATCTACAAATTTAGGATTAGGTCTATTATTAGAGCAGCACTAATATCATAGTAGACCATAAATTCTACATTGGTGAGCCCAACTAAAGAAACGCAACCCATTACTGTTAATCCTTATTTCCACATTAACCTTCTCAATCGGTTTTTATTTTTGTAAACCCAGTATTCGTATAGTCCTTTGATTAATGGTCACATATATTATCGTAATGTTATATCTGTTAGTTCACATAACTTACTAGCTCAATCGATAATAAAAGTTGATCATCTATATCAACTAATTAGCTTTGATGTTTCGTTAACAAGCTTTAATAGCATTTACATGCTTCAGCGACATAGACTTGTTTAAACATCAAGCTCTAGCAAATATGACCTGTCAATAGCGTAAATATACATTGACTAACAATGCAATCAAGGATTGAATAGTTATCTGGATCTAATCCTCAGTGTTCCTTCACTTAACACCTCATCCTGTTTTAAACTATGCACTATCCTGTAATATCTTTTCTTCCGACCACTGCCTGCCTAATTTCATATTCTCGAGTTCCATTGCCAAACAACAAGGATGACACCTCTCCAAAAACATACGATGGCTCGTTCAATAACAACCACACAATTATCTGGATTCATTCGATTGTTCTGATCACAGCGAGTCCCAAAAACCTCAACATCATCAAGCACCCTGGAAGTGATTGCCATACTGCATGTTTTATTCTGGATACTTTTGGATCATTACTGCTCCTTACGAATGGCGTTATATATGTCGTCCACTGAATAATCTAATTTTCAAAAATAATCCAGGCGAGTTCAACTATTTTACTTAATGATTTTTTGTACTTAACATGTATATGTTTTCCAGTTGCTCTTGCCATATATTTGTAAGTGTCCGTAGGCTAAATGCGGTTCATAACGCATCATATTTCTGCCTGAAGTTTCACAAGCAGTCTTAACTTTGAAATTATTTTTCTGGTCATCTTCATTATTTTTAAATCGTCATATACGTCAACAACCTGCTTGTCAACCTGGCCCATACATACGTTACACTATATCTTCATGTTTTCTAAATTTAGGAATCATCTGAATCGCCTTTAACATTAATCAATAAACCCATCATAGTCGTTGTTGCTAATCGTATTTGGGTTTATGAATTGGTTTATCATATTACCAGTCTAAAATGCGAACATAGTTTAGATAATAAGATTGAAAATTTAGGTACTATCAACTGCACTAGCAAAATAACTAAGTCCCCAGGTAGCTGTTGGCTAAACAAACGTTTAAAATCAAAACTCCGGAGCCAACTAAAATTAACAAGTGACGAATATTTTCGAATTGAAATTTATAATATAATTAGGCGTCTCGGATTCTTTAACGTTATAAATTTCTGATAATTTTGAATCACTTAAAGCAACAATACCTATTTTTCCAATGACTAATCCTCAATCAACACTATAACTAGTTAAATTTAATAGTTTCAGGATATCGTCATAAAGCATTGTCATAACTTGACAACCACGTAATATGACTGATAAAATTAATGAAACTATTAACAAAATCGGTCAGCAAATTGACTTACAATAATCACTAGTGTTGTTTTCTTGGTATCTTCATTCGCTACAGATGATTACAGTATGTTTCTCTATCAGTTGCTTATCCAGCAAACATCTCAACCTTGTAAGCCCCATGAACCAACACAAAACTATACACAACAGAAACACCTCTCCTGGCAACAATAACAGGCATTCCTTCATCCCTTACCAGAAACATACAACCTCCCCAACTGACCACAATAGGACTAAAATTGCCCACCGCACACGAGGAAGCCATAACGCTGGCCTACTTGGGAACCCACCTACAGATTCTAGGTACTATCCAAGTCAAGCCACCCAATACAACGGTTTAGTCCCCCCTAATTCGACATGCACACTATCTCATCCTTTTTTATCTCTCTCCCCCTCAACATTACTGCTATGGGGTCTCCAAATGTTGAGGGCGACAATCCCACTATTCTGAAACCATCTATATACTCCGATTTAATGGGGAGTAGCACATCCTACTCAACTTCGATAACTGTTTCTAGTCTTGAAAACTCCTTGACTGAACCCCCTGATCATTCCCCGGACACATTACCTAATCATTCGACTCTACCTTCCACTCTTAGACATACTTCTTTCACCAAAACCACACCCGACTACCCTTCTTGCATTAACCCTAATGGTAATAAACTAAACACTCATCAATATGGAGTCAACGCTCCCAATTCTTCCTTTTCTCAGGGCAAAACAGACAAACCACTCGGTTTACATCATACCCTTCTACTAGACAAACAGTCACCGTACCTGACACTTATGTTAATCAACGCTAGATCTGTACAAAGTAAGATGACTTACCTACGCACCCTATTGCTTTTAAACAACCCCTCACTTGTTTTGATAACGGAAAGTTGGCTGTCCTCCGATACCACAGACACATTTCTACAAATAGACACCTATGAGCTCTTCCGCTGTGATCGAGTCACCAAGAAGGGTGGTGGTTGTCTCGTCTATGTATCAAAAAATTTGAGAGCGGAAACCTATAGCGACCACGTCCTCAGCAAACTTCCTGAATCGATATGGCTTACTGTGCACACTCATGAATGTAAAATACTAATCGGATGCATATATCGAGCTCCTAACACCCCTAGTTCAACTGACACTATTATAAGTGAGTCATTTGCTCAGGCTGCCTCGCTTGACTTCACATACAAAATTGTATGTGGTGATTTCAACCTTCCCACCATCAACTGGAAGACACATTCTGGCCCATTGTGCTTTGAAAGCATACTTAGGTCCTTAGACATACACGGCTGGCAACAACATGTACACCTGCCTACACGAAATCACAACATTCTTGACTTGATATTCTGTCATAGTGTCACACCAACATCAATGGTGGTTAGCGAAAAGTTTCACAACAGCGATCATAAAATAGTCCTCTGCACCCTTCCGATTCTTGCCATATGCAACAAATTAAAGACATTAAAAACGCGATTCCAATATAGAGACTATGCAAACGCTGACTGGGAAAACTTTCGATTTCTAATAAAGCACTCTGACTGGGGCAGTTTCTTTACCAGTAATAACCTCTTAGAAACATTAGAAATATTCAATATCACCACCAAATCTGCACTAGACACCACTATACCCTCTAAAATTGGTTTTAAAACAGTTACTCCCTATATAAACCAAAAGACTAGGTCTAAACTGAGAAAACTGAAAAGGATGTACTATATATCAAAAGACTTCAGTGCCCTGCACCAGATATACTCTGTACTTGACGGAGTACAAAGTCAACACAACAAGCATAAACAGGTAGAGGAACGTACTGCGCTCGCTGCTGCATCTAAAGCCCAAGCCCTATGTCGTCTCCTCACGAAACGCATAAGAAAGAACACAGACAACAACATTCACTCCTTACTGCACGATGGAGTAACGTATAATGACCAAACCGTCATATGTGAACTATTAAGTGAATGGTTTTCTCACAATGGGAATACATCTGATGCCCCAGATATCGACATAAAGTGCACCGGCAAAAACTATCTTAGTACCATAAACTTCGACATTATGAGTATACATACCGCCATTAAAACCCTTAAACCAAATGCGAGTTCTGGTGCCGATGACATCCCTTCAATCGTTTATAAAATGTCAGGGCCGGACATACAGACGCTACTACTCAAAATATACACATTATCTTTAGAGACAGGTACATATCCGGAAACCTGGAAGGTAACGTATGTTCTACCCAAACACAAATCCGGACCGAGAAACCTGGTAGAAAACTACAGACCTATAAATATCACTCCAGTCATATCACGCATAATGGAAAAAGTGATACAAAATCAACTATCTGATCACCTACTCAAGGAAGATCTAATAGACCCGTCACAACACGGCTTCATTAGAACAAGGTCGTGCAGTACATGCCTGATAGACTTCTTTAACGAGGTTACTCGTATGCGTGACCAGAAGAAACTAGTTATTATACTATACTTCGATATTAAGAAAGCCTTTGATAAAGTACCTCATAATCTTCTAATCAACAGACTGAAGTCAGTTGGAATTATAAATCCCCTTTTGCAATGGATCAAGTCTTTTCTTACGAACAGATATCAAATAACCAAGATTAACTCTAATACATCTACACCTCGACCGATAACCAGTGGTGTTGTGCAGGGTAGTGTCTTGGGTCCATTGCTCTTTATGATCTACATCAACAATATATGCAGGTGTTTCAGCACAGGTAAGACCTACCTCTATGCCGATGACTTAAAAGTCATCTATAAAACTGACATTTGCGATTTACGCAGTACTATGCAAACAATCCAACATGAACTCAACATGGTAGATGACTGGTGCAAACGCTGGAGGTTAGAGCTCAACATAGAGAAATGCGGCTGGTTATGTATAGGAGACACGTCTCTTAAAATGAAACTAACAATTAGCGATCACGCACTCCCCAGACTGGCATCAGTAACTGACCTAGGGGTACATTATCCACACAGTCTTAATTTCTCTGAACACATCTCAGCCAAAGCATCCAAAATGCGGAAATTGCTTGGCTTCATTCTCCGTAATTTCTATCAAAATGAATCTAAAATCCTTCTTTACAAAGTTTGTGTAAGACCTATCGTTGAATACTGCTCGTTCTTATTTTCCAACCTACGTCTATCTGATATACTAAAGGTGGAAGGAATACAACGAGACTTCACCCGCAAAATACTTAAGACTGGCTCGGTCATTGACTACAGTTCTCGATGCCAAATCTTAGGAATAGCACCCCTTTGGGAGAGAAGGCTTAGGTCTAATTTGATTCTCTACTTCAAACTACTCAAAAACCTTACTTACTCAACATGTCAGATAATTCTTGCCCGAGATTCACATGAATACGAACTTCGAAACAAAGTATCTACGGTCAAAGTTGAGAAATACAGATCAAAAACTCGGGAAAACTTCTTCCTCACCAAGTATGCAATAATATGGAACAGTCTTCCCCCCGAGACTCGCATGGCAGATGAACTACATACGTTTGTGAAACTGCTTGATCAAGCCCTCACTCGCACTGATCTTGCACGTACGAACACATCTGCACCCCACTCAGACATCATAGGCTCTCTCCATGTCTAGACCAAAATGGACTTCAAGTTCAGTTTGCCTTATTTTTCCTACTTTGCAGTTGTATTAATTACTTTTTCCACCCCATTTCTTCACTTGAAGTAGACAGGTAACTCACTGGACCTATCATTACTGTCAAACTAAACTCGGTCGATAAGGGACAATCACTACCACCCTAAAAAGTCAAGAGGACCGCATAATCGGCTGCCTACTACCAGTGGTCTTGAATCTATGGAACCTGTTACCAATCAACTGGTTAAGACAACAGAAAATAACATCAGCACCAAGTTACTGTGAGTTCCTTCCTGTTTATCCTGTATTAACTTTTTACTCTTCCGTACACTATGTTGACTAGCAATTAATATTATTTCTCCACTCGTTCCCTTACCCAAAACTCATACTTCTATACTTCTTCCGCCTGCTTAAATAAACAACTATCCTACAATATACCCTTCTTAACGCTTATACTCTGTTTGGCAAACTATACTTTATACTATAGTCAACAGAGGCACTGCATCGATGCTTTACCCACAGTCCACAGCTTGTAACTGCCTGATAAGCTTGTAAAATGGTACTTATAGAAATAGTGCTTTCCAACAAGTTGTGAAACAGAGGATTGTGTGAGGTATGACGTATATACAAAAATAAGCTTAAATGAGCCTAACATCACAAAAGGAGGGAGGGTGGAGTTACTGACCAGCAAGCATTGATGGTGAGGGCGATAACTTCAATCCACCCGTGTTTGTGGGGACAGAACATTTTGTATGTATCAGGCTCTTTATAATTGAGAATAAGACAGTCAATCTAAGATATAGATTGTCTTCCTACGCTCACCACTCAGACTCATGTTTCCAATAATATGCTGGATTAGCTATTCTACTAAGACAACCTATAACATGCTAACTCAGACTTTTACACTAGGATTGCGTGGCTGACATCGGATGGACAAAAAAAGAAAAGAAAAAAGACAATAAAAGATATAGTCACTAGTATTCTTAACACTTCACCCTCTATATATACACCCTTCTAATAAACCGCTTCCTTTGTACCAACCTTGACTTCCCTTCCTTCATGTGAGCTTACTCCAACTTGTTAAACATCACTACTCGTTGTTCTTTATTAGTACATTCTCTAATATGGAGGCTCTGACTTCACTTCACTCTAACAAGACATAATATGAATTTATTCTAATTTATTATACCTCTGTCCGTTCTACTACACAATGTTAAGCAACCTTTGGCGTTCATATCCAAGTGCCTTGCTGCTCCTCTGTTTCTTTTTTTTCTCCTTCAGAATCTTGCTCTGAGAGCACAACTATGAAACTTCTGACGTTTGGAACAAACTTGACGTACGCGTCCTCTCAAGGTCATAGTTTACAACAAGCGCTCTACGATCTCACTTTATAACAACTATAAACTTAATAAGTTGGGAAGCATTTTGCGAACCAACAAATATTGTAATTTATAGATCATGCCTGTAAAAACGGTGTGTACCTGCACATGCAGAAATATATTATTATTATTAATTGGAGGTTTAGCGACACAATCATGCATGCAAATAATCAGTATAAGCAGTCGAGCAAATCTCCTGCAAACTGAAAACATCAATGTCGAATTTTCCACAACACTGACTAAGGTTCAAGCCATCATCATGGATATGAGTTGTGAGTGTACTCCCCTTGGTTACAACTTATGTTCTCCCTGATAATCACATGAGCATCACCCACGGTTAATCATCTTGTTATAACGTATTTGGCCAAGTACACCTTACAGCACCACATCACTTAGTAATGTGACACAGGCTTAACTGATTTCAGTAACTTATAATCACCATATCTCATTTAAATCGTATTCTGCCCGCATACGTGCAACTAACTTGTATGCCCAGTCAGCCAGCAAGTATAAATATAAATAAATAGTCTATGGCAGATCAGAACATTGAGTCCAGAGCATGTCTCTTACGAACACACTCATGTTTAACGATTTTTCCTAGCTATCTGTCCAAAATGCATATAATTATCACTCATGTATTTAAATTTTGTTTTGATAACCATTCATGTGTATTAGTAGTATTACTAAATTCTATCACGGTCAAGTAAAAATGAGGTTGAGGAAATCTCCCCGTAACTAAATAAACCGTATCAAACTAACTGGAACACTAGTTGGAATTCTTCTCCACGGTAATACTTTTGTTCCTTCAGTTAGCCTACTAATACAGATGCAATTGGAAATCACATATGGACGGGTTACCGGCATAATTGTTAATTGGTTTCATAATTTAAACCAAAACTAATACCAATATTAACATTTCCACAACATTCATTACTTTAATATTTCTAAACACGAAATACTTACTACCTATACGTTAAGTTACTAACCAACGGCTATTAGCACGCATCGTTTTATTATCATTATTATTATGCCATTCTTTATAGTTCAAATAATCTTCACCCAAATTTTCACTTCAAGCGTTTTAAGCATGAAGGCAGATATTTTAAAGCTATTACATGTATTTCCCGACCAGATGCTGCCGCTTTCTTTTTGATTTATCTTTCAGCTTATCAATAACCGGAGGATTCTTATTATCCTTGGTAACCTCCGGCGCGCGACGATCCCATCCAATTTGGTATCGAACCAACATCACGTTGATTGTGGTGGGAGAGTAGTGTAGTGGCATTGGACAATAGCCACACAATCCACAAAGCTGTGAACACGAGACTACTCAGAAAATAGATATTCAATAGTTAACGCGGAGAAATACCTAACAATGGAGAAGGCGCGAACAATGAATTAAATGGACTGGAGTTGATCGAGTGGCATGGATCGGCCATGCAGGCGTGGTCTCTGCTTAATGTTACCTTATATCTTCTATTCATATTAAATATATTGTTCTTTCTCTAGCCTAACCTTGTTCTACATCATGTATTGGTAATTGATACGATACAGTGAGTTGGTGTAGTCGATGGTGTGACTTCCACGTAAGATCTTATAGATTAGGCAGTTATATTATGACGAATCTACAGATTTAGGATTAGGTCTATTATTAGAACAGTACTAATATCATAGTATACCATCATTCTACAATACCACGCACTAAGGTTTGTAGAATCTTTGAAATAACAATTAACCGTCGAAAGGTTGTTCTTTAAAATGAATGAAACACGTGAGAAACTTAACATTGGATGGTGGGTCAGTAGTAGAATTTTTCCACGACTAATGGTGACGGATGAGAATTGATTAATCGACATTGTGAGGCTAACATTTGGGGGAAACTTGTTGCCTCCTGCGAATTGTTTATTTACCCTGTTCTGTTAAATATATAGTTATCTTTTGGTAGGATTTTTTTCACTCTCTGAGCTTATAAAAAGAAAGGACTAGCCGTGCCAATATATTAGGATGGTTTAAGCTAAAAAACAATCTGACAAAATGACTTCAAAATAAGACCACGATGTAAAATTCACGTGCAGTTGTAGTGGATGTAGATTAGCAGTAGAACGAAATCAGTAAGTTCGTATTATCACGGTCTAAGTTCGTTATCAGTACTGCTCTAATAATAGACCTACTCCTGAAATTTCAGGTTTGCCATGATATGACTGTCTAATCTATCATTTAAAAGTCACATCATTGCCCATTATGACTCATCGTATCGTGACAATTAACAATATGATACTTAGCACTTCTGAAGTACACAGTTGGGCTGGGGATAGAACAATTTGTTTAACATGAATGGTGATACGTTGCACATATTGACGACGACTGCAGTTAGTTTGTTAAGTTAATTATGGCTTATTTAGTTACGGGGAGATTTTCCCGACCTCATTATTGTTTAACCGTGATAAGACTTAATAAAACTACTACTACATATGAAAGGCCCTTTTACTACGTCAAAACGGTGATAATTATGTAAAATGCGAACAGATAATAATGATTTATTCTCAAATAACTGTCTGTTATATGAGACATGCCAGTTTATAGACAATATAAAATTGTTACAGAAGGTGCAATATTCACTGTAGTGGGTTACTCAGTTAGATTGATATTTTATAAGACACACTGGTCATAGAGTTATGGAGAACAACACTTCTCACGTATGAATGTAGGTAGTATTAGTATGACCCGTATTGGTAATATGACAGTTGGCGCCCTTTGCGGAGGCTGCGTTGCGACAAGCAGCTGGTGGTCGAGAATAAATCTACGTTAAGTTTAGAGCTTCTAGCTAGCAGTTATTCGTTAAATCTGAGTGAATCCATGGGAGAGCTGCTTTAGAATCGTTGCTTTAATGTGCAATAAACTTGATATTCATATTTATACTTACCGAATGATGATATATACTGGTTAGTTGCAAGCATCGAGTATGGCATAAGGTAGAAATCGACTTATTTGGAATGAAATGATTATAAGTTGCTGAAATTGACAAGGCGTATGTGCCACAAATAAAAGTGACTTGGTATTGTACGATGCTTTCAGCTAAATAAATCTTTACAAGATGACAAACAGTGAGTGCTGTTCATGTGATTATCAGGGAGAGCATAAGTTGCAACTAAAAGGAATACAACTTCCAACTAATCCCTGTAATAATGTCACGAACCTTTGTCACTGTTCAGCTAAATTCGACAGTGATGTCTTCAAAGGGCAGAATATTTGCTCGATTGATTATACTGATGTTTTACATTCATAATTGCGTCACTAAATCTCCAATCAGACTGACAGGGTTTCAAGATGTTTGATTGAATGTGTTAATGTCTAACTTCAACTAATCCACGAAAATGAGCGATACATCCACCATTGTTTTTAGTGAGTTACTATCTCACAACAGACCCAATTGAACTCCACTGGTCACTACTTCTCACTAGAACTCCAGGATATACCTCGTGAAGCCAGTCACTAGTGCGCATATGTTGATTATTATCAGATGGGTTTTGTAGAGATCGTAGTAGTTTCAATGGTTAAGATCATGGGTCAGTTGAAGCTAGACCACCATGGAAAACCTGGAATCACTGGACGGCTGTTGTGAGATAGTAACTCACTGAAAACAATGGCGAATGTGTCGCTCAATTTCGTGGATTAGTTGAAGTTAGACATTAACACCGTTGGTTGCCGGCTCAGTGGTCTAGTAATTAAGTGCTCGCGCGCGAAACCAGTAGGTCCTGGATTCGAATCTCGCATTTGGCGAGGTCGTGGATGCGCACTGCTGAGGAATCCCGCAATAGGACGAAACAGCCGTCCGGTGCTTCCAGGTTTTCCATGGTGGTCTAGCTTCAACTGACCCATGATCTTAACCGTTGAAATTACTACAATCTCCACAAAACCCATCTGATATGTTTCTTTTATTGCTTAGCGCGCTACTTCGCATCAAAGAAACTTCTGACTGTATAGCACAGGCTATACCGTTTGAGGTATTTTGTATTTCTGATATAATTTGTTCTATTTCCTAAATTAGAACCGTCTAAATTGAGAACGGAGTTTGTGTTTTGATATAATTTAATACGACTGTCTCAAAAACGCTTTGTAAGCTATACAGAAGAACGTAGTCTGGCCTATTCGAATACGTTTTGGTTCATCAGTCCTGCATTCAAACCAAGTACTGGCTATTCGGTCGTTACACTGTCTAAATAATTATTAAGTTCAAATGGGATAGAGATATGATGCAACGCATGTATAGGCCAGGTGAAGATGTGGGTTGGTGAGGGTTATAGCAATTAAAGAAAAAAATAGACCTGGCCAAAAAATATTTTATAAGTCGAGACGAATCGTGGAACTACGATTGGGAATATGATGGGTTGTAGTAAAACGTTTGCTGTTGTTAGTCTAGTAGCTTCATGAGTATGTAGCAATGATCGGGGCTAGGAAGTTTCAAAATAATGTTCAATCTTCCCTGTGATTATATGTTCAGCCTCGAGAATCGTGTGATTATGAACCAATACCATTATAAGTTTGTCATCTCGACTATGGACCAAAATCTATGAGTCACACCGCCTAATGATTTG